CTGTATTCTTGTAATATTATGACTTTATTCTCGTGATATTTCAACGCCATTCTCCTACTAGTATAACTGTATTCTTGTAATATTATGACTTTATTCTCGTGATATTTCAACGCCATTCTCCTACTAGTATAACTGTATTCTTGTAATATTAAAATATATTAAAAAAAAGTAAGTCTGACCCTAATATATCATCGTAAAGTTGACCTGATGTCTAACAGGTCACTCTAAACTGTGGAAGGGAGTGCATTGGTGGAAAACAAATCCAGATATGCCAAAACTTAAACCAAAAATTCGATTACATTGAGATGCTAGGCGCAGTCTGACTTTAGCTTTCTGTCATCTTTCCTCCATTTTCTCGGGGTTCAGCGGCCGGGGCCTGAGGCTCGGAGGAGGCTTCAGGAGGTCCATGCCCGACCCCCACAGCTGAGGACCGAGCAGGATGACTCACCACCAGGGGGGCCCCCCAAACAACAAATGAAGAGACGTAAGGATGGGGGCCAATGGATCCAGTTATCCACACTCCTGCTCCCCGCGCATCGGAGGAAACACACAGACGCAGCAGACCTTTATAGGTAAGTTCATTTAGCTTCTCCATGCTGCGTTAAACTATTCCTGTCACTTCTCATGTAGGTTAAAAAAAAAATTTTTCTGCGTAATAAACCAGTATATATGTCTATCCTTCCTACAAATGCATACTAATAGGGCTCTGCCATACACTTACTCACACTTTAGATTAGATTAACCTGCTTCCATGGCAACTGATGGTGCAGGAGGTGAATAATTTTGTGCATAAGAGCTCTTGAACCGGGCTGTTGACTCAGAGCCGAGGCTGGAGCATTAGCAGGCTCTTCCAAGTGCCTTTCTCTGCCGCTTGGCCTTGTTTTGAAGCATAGTGAAAGGCTGGCGAGCAAAGAAATGCAATTTCAAATCTCATTGACCAGAATGACATCACAAGAGTTATTTTTATTATTTCAGACCCTGTGGACTCACAATATGTTTGCGTGAGATTTTATTTTATTAGGGCTGTAGCTCATTTCAGTAATCAGTTGTTCTGATGATTAATCGATTAATCGGGTAAAAGAAATTAGCATATTTTACAGATTTTTTTTATTTATTTAACCACTTAAACCTTTTTATGCAATTTTACAAATACATTAAAAGATGCAAGCAAAAACCAATAATTCAGTTCCTTTTTTAAATGAAATAAATATTTTATTGCCTAAAATGCAACAGAAGTTCTTTTAGTTAATTTACATGGGTGAAAATTATTTTTGTACAATTTTGGTTTTGTTGGTGCTCCGACTGTTTTGTTTTCAGCAAATGGCTTTTTCTGAGTCTCCACTTAGCGATTAATCGATTACTAAATTAGTGACTGTTCTTAACCCAACTAATTGTTTCAGCCCTATATTAGATTCTTCGTGGTCATAGTATGTTTTGTGACCTTATGCTATGATAGTGCTGCAACAAACGATTGTTTTAGTAATCAGTTATTCTGTTGCTTATTGTGACTAATCGATCGATTAATCGGATTTTTTCATCAAATTGCCTTTTTAAAACATCTGTTTACTCCAGTTAACGATTAACTGATTATTTCAATAATGGATTCCTCACGATTAATCCGATTAATCGCTTCAGTCCTAAACTTTACATGAGAAGTAGCCGTGTGCAAGCTGCCCTTTGAAATGTGACCGTGGTTTTAAACAGCTTCTCTGACAGAACAGGGTGTTATTTTGCTGTGATAGCTGGTTTTAGAGTTGAATTGAACCCTCACTGTCTTCTTGAAGGAAGAGAAAGAGACTTCTTTGATCTTCCTGTGGAGTTATCATGAGCTTCGTCTGAGAGGTTAAAGTTTCGGTTTCTAAATGAGTCGAGCCCCAGTTTCTTTGAGCGGAGGGGGGTGGGGGGACTTCAGAGTGAATGTATTGTAGAAGAGCCAAATGATCTCCGTTGCCTGTGGTGTCCTGGAGCCGCTCAGTTGATCTGGCCCGGCCACAGATGATTCAGAGTTCCAGTGATTACTATGTGGGTCACATTGATGGATGCTGACAGGAGGTCAGGCGAAGAGGATCTCCTTGGCAGAGCCTCTGCTGATGTACCCACGCTGTCTCAAGCCCAACATAACTGCCATTTAGTGGAACAGATTGGTCTAAATCTGTGAAAATGGCTTAAAGTTTATAGGGCTGAAATGATTAATCAGCTGAATCGTGATTAATCGATTATCAAACGTAACCGTCAACTAAATTAGTAATTGGACAAACATTAACCGGAGATTCTAAAATGTGTCATTTACTGACAGAACACCCTCAATTAAGCCACAATTACATTAAAATTATTGTTTATTTTGCATTAAATATGAAAAAATGACCCAGAACTCATCATATGGCTTAGTTTTACCTTCACCTGTTCAAATCCTTTTAATTAGGCACCTTTTTGTTTCTATTTATTAACTAGTTGATCCAAAAAATAGTCAACAGATCAACCCCAACAGAGTACTGATAAGTGTTTTGCATGTTTTAAATGATTTGTAGCATCATTCACTACAAATAATCTAGTGTACACCAGAGGAGTTCTTTGTTATTGCATTTATGGCAATAAAACGTTTATTTTCTTATTCAAAAATGAAGTTAATTGTTTATTTTAATATAATATAAAGTAAGCTTAAGTAGTTAAATGAAAAATCTGCCAAATTTGGCAATTTTTTTCATCCTATTTGATTAATCGTCAGAATATTTGATAGACTAATGATCGTTACTTGCAGCCCTAAAAGTTCACGAAGGAGCACAGCGTCTTGATTTACTGTTGCTCTGTGAGGAACCAATTTGTGCTCTGAAATCAAAAGAAACGGGGATCCTGGGTGTCTTGCGTTGCCGCTGAACGTGATCCAGGTGCCTGATCAGGCAGCGTGCGCCCAACCTGCAAGGGATGCCAGAGGCAGGTTGTACTTCTGTGTGTCCGCCTGCAGCAGTACCTCTGGTATGACTACAGAAACTCAATCAAATCTTTTTTGCTATTGGTTTGCCTACAACTGGATGCCATGAGTGGTGTTTGGTTCTGTTCAGGCTTGTGGAGCCAACACAGATTATTCACACACACTCATGGGTAATTTAGAGCCTAATGGAGAGCTTCTGGGCAGTGGGAGGAAGACCAAATGTCTGCAGAGAACCCACACAGGCTCCAGGAGAACATTAATAAATCATACCCAGAGGCTCACGCCAAGATTCAAAGAAAAGCTAGCATCCACATCACCTTGGACCCTTTTAGCAGATTAGCACTAAGGGTGTTTTCACATCTCGTAGTCTGCTAGATTTGGTTTAGTTGGGGACCAAAGTTGCAACATTTGTTACATTTTCAGCTGGTGTGGTTTCTTTTCTCATTTCACTGTCAAATCAAACCTTTTAAAAAAAACAACAGGAAATGTCACAAAAACCTGTGAAAAGGAACATGAGTACAGCGTCCTTTTTTTTGTAAAATGTAAACAAAAATTGAGTAACGTCAGATTTTAGCGTTTCTTTTTCGTCTTTGGTAAAAGACCACAAACTATTTCTCCTTCTAGCGCTAGACTCACACGTTTGTTTTGGTTGCATTTACCCAGAATGCCCTGCGCTATTGTCCGCTTCCTGCTTTTGGAGCAGTCTCTGGCCCGCTTGGCTTTCACATTCATTCAAATTGCATCAGAGTTCACTTTAACAGAGGTTTGTAGGTAGATTAGAGTTTTCTGTTTTGGCCCACATCAGAGTTGCGTATTCCCACCTCTCCTAACGAACTGGACTTTCCAGATAAACAAACTGGATTTTGATTGAAGTGAACTAAACCAAAGCTCCAGCTTACATTCAGACAACACTACAGTTCATATCAATGATATAAACATACTGCTGCATCTCAGTAAATCAGAATATAGAGCTTCATAATGATGCTAGCCCAACTTTTGGAGCTCTTACAGCTTTAAATCTGCTAGGAAGTCTTTCTTTGGTCATTTTTCCAGAGAACATTTCAGGCAAAAAGATCATTATCTGCCAAAGTCAGAATCGGTACATCAGGCTTTATAGATCATTAATCGGCCAGAAAACTGCAATCAGCGCACCCCTAAAAATAAACCAAAACACTGCTTCCTCCTTTCTTATTTCTTCCTGTGCTTTTATTCCAGGAACGTCTTCGTACTCCCAACAGGGTTATGGCTGGGAGTCCAAGCTGTACAGCCTGGAGCACGGCCATGAGCGACCAGCGGACAGGAAGAAGAAGAGCCTGGGTCTGGCGACGCTCAAACGGCGGTTCATCAAAAGGAGGAAGTCCAGCCGCTCAGCGGACCACGCCCGGCAGATGCGGGAGCTCCTGTCTGGTTGGGATGTCCGCGACACCAACGCCCTGGCGGAGGAGTACGAGGGAACCGCCGCCCTCAAGGAGCTGAGCTTCCAGGCCAGCCTGGCCCGTGCCGAGGCCCCCAGCCTGCAGCGCGACCTGGCCGCGCTCTATCAGCACAAGTACTGCACTGACGTGGATCTCATCTTCCAGGGAACCTGCTTCCCGGCTCACCGCGCCATCCTGGCCGCCCGCTGCCCCTTCTTCAAGACCCTGCTGTCCTCTTCTCCTGGTTACGGCGCCGAGGTCCTCATGGACGTCGACACGGCCGGCATCGACGTGCCCATGTTCTCTGCTCTGCTTCATTACCTGTACACGGGGGAGTTCGGGGTGGGCGGAGCCGAGGACAGCCGGCTGCAGAACGTGGACGTGTTGGTTCAGCTCAGCGAGGAGTTCGGTACGCCCAACTCCCTGGAAGCAGACATGAAGGGCTTGTTTGACTACATGTGCTACTACGACGCTCTGCTCAGCTTCTCCTCTGACTCGGAGATGATCGACGGCTCTAACGAGAGAGGGGCAGTCGCCGCGGTGCCGACGGGCGGCTTAGGAAGCAGTGGCGGCGGCGGGGCGACTCCAGAGGAGGACCTCAGGGCCCACAAGGCCATCCTCTCTGCGCGCTCGCCGTTCTTCAGGAACCTTTTGCAGAGGCGCATTCGCACAGGGGAGGAAATGACGGAGCGCACGCTGCAGACGCCCACCAGGATAGTTTTGGACGAGTCCATCATCCCACGGAAATACGTGCAGGTTATCCTGCACTGCATGTACACGGACGTGGTTGACCTGGGGCTGGTGCTGCGCGGCAGCCCGTCGTCTTGCAGTTTGGGCGAGGTGCAGGCCCTCGTTTCAGGGTGCAGGGGGGCGAGCACGCGCACGGAGGAGGCCATGGAGCTCTACCACATCGCACTGTTTCTGGAGTTCAGCATGCTTGCTCAAGGTAGGAAACCATCTGCACATGGACACGGCGAAAGTAACCAGAGATCTGTGTGAGGCTGGAGTGATTAATCGTGATTAATCATAAATTTAAATAATTGTCATCTAATTTAGTAATCGATTAATCTTTAAGTAGAGTACACAGACTTAAAAAAAAGGCAATTTGTTGAACGAACAACGGTAACTAAGCCAAAATTATACTCAACATATTTACAGGTTGAATAAACTTTGCCTGTAAAATAAGTTTTACCCAGAATACGGTTGAAAGTAACCGGAGATCTGTGTAGAGCTGAAACAATTAATCGTGATTAATCAATCATTTAAATAATCACCAGCTAATTTAGTAATTGATTAATAGTTAACTAGAGTGTAGTTACAGACTAAAAAATGCCATTTGCAGAAATAACGTATTCAGAGGAGTAATTAAGCCAAAACTGTACAAAAAATAAACACATTTTGCATCTGAAATAAAAAACAACCTTTATCTGTAAATATGTTCTACACAGAAATCCCCAAGTGGCATTTTTAGCTTCACCTCTTCCAAATTATTTCCTTTCCTTTCTCTGCTAGATTTTTACTTATTTTCTATTCTTCCTCCCTCCTGTCCTTCCTTCCTTTCTGCCTTCCTTACTGGATTCTTTCTATTCTTCCTTTTCTTTGCTAGATTCTTCCTTTGTCCTCTTCCTTTGCTATTCTTCTTCCCTTCTCATCGCTCCTTCCTCCGTTCCATCCTTGTTTTTTCCATCCTTAATCCCTTACTTATTTTAATTTCATCCTTCCTTTGTTAGTTCTTTCCTTCCTATTCTCCCTTCTTTCCTATCTCCCCATCTGCCCATCTGTCCTTCCTTCCCATCTTCCCTTACTTCCTTTGCTAGATCTTTTCTCCCTGCCTTCTCTTCCTCCCTTCCTGTTTTTCCTTCCTCTATTCCTATCCTTCCTCTCTTTGCTAGGTCCTTCCTTCCTTCTTTTCTCTGTTCCTATCCTTCCTTTCCCTTTCTGTCCTCCTTTTTTTGTTCCATCCTTCCATTATGTCCTTCTCTCCTCTTTTTAAACATACCAGTCTCATTGTCTTTTATTGTTTCCTCTCTTCTGGTGTTTTTGTCCAGTTTGAGGTTTAGCGCAGCCAGAATTTTTATGATCTGTAAATTTGCTGATGTGTTGTGTTGTGTAACCCAGTGAATTGTTAGTTTGGTCTCATTCCTCAGTAATTCCTTCCTTCCTGTTCGGTCACTACCGCTGAAATAAACCCTCAACTCGGAGTGCGATAACAAATCATCCTTGCTTGAGTTCCTGAATCGATTTGCATGCTCACTGCGTCCTAATTACAGCATCTGCTGCATCATGAGATGTTTTTGTCACATCTGGCTCGATTTTATTTGTTTTTCTACGTTAATTTTTGCCTTTTTTTTTTTTTTTTTTTTTTACATGTTGTCTAACCTTCACCGCTGGCTGTGCAGATTAAAACGTGGGTTGCGCAGCATCACTAAGTGAGATATTAGACCGTGTTCGTGCAGCGTCTGGCGGGAACATATTGCAACAAGCGGCTTCTGGGAGCGGACAGCTGGTGCATGCATTAAGAAACAGAAGAGCTGCTCAAAGAAACTGTGAAGGATTGCTTTGTCACAATTATTGGGCACCATTTTTAAAGTTACAGTCAAAAACTAACAGCAGTAATTTGTGTTATTTCGACTGTCACAGAAAACAATGGGGTTAATTTTTCAATAACACTTTATTTAAAGGGGTGTGCCTAAGACTGACATGACACTGTCATAAACATGACGCAACACCTGTCATGAACTTAAAGAAGTCTTTATGAATGTTTATGACAGTTGTCATGAAGTGTCATTCAGTAAATAATGACATAAATAATGACACCTTTAATGCAAAGTTGCTCTAAAAGTCCATTAAAAGTGCCAACTTTTTGCATGATTTTGATGGTCAATTTTAATGGTCGTTCAATGCACCTTTCAGAGGAATTTTCTGTCATTATTTACCAAATTACACTTCATGACAACTGTTATAAACATTCATAAAGACTTCTTTATGTTCATAACAGATATGTCATTTTTATGACAGGTCATGTCAGTCTTATGCACACCCCTTCAAATAAAGTGTTACCAAGTTTTCTAAGTCATATTTTCTCCATGTTATTCGTTGATTTATAAATGTCACCATTTCAAACTAAATATTCAATTAGCAAGGTAAATATTTACTTTACCAACAAAGTATTTAGCTTCAAATTAAATATCTAGTTTGGATGCAAATACTCCAAACTGAACTAAATATTTAGCTCAGAGCTAAGTATTCAGCTTGCTCAAGGCTTATTATTAGGTCAATGCCAAATATATAGCTTAGTCACTATATATTAAGCTTTTATACCGTCCACCAGGCGCTCGACAGCGAGCGCCTGGTGGCCAGGCTTTAACACACGGAGCCCAATCAGGCTAAATAATACATATTTAGTTTAAAAAAAACATATAGCATTAAGCTAAATAAATATTTAGCTTAATAAATTCAGCATTAAGCTAAATATTTATTTAGCATTAAGCTAAATACTTATTTAGCTTAATGCTAAATGCTAAATTTATTAGCTTAGCTTTAGCTTAATAAATCTAGCATTAAACTTAGCTTAATGCTACATTTATTGAGCTAAATAAATATTTAGCTTAATAAATTTAGCATTAAGCTAAATATTTATTTAGCTTAATAAATTTAGCATTAAGCTAAATATTTATTTAGCTTAATAAATTTAGCATTAAGCTAAATATTTA